GTGAATCTGATAATTGTAATATTGTACATTGCCTTTCTGCTTTTCTCTTTTGAACCACAGAGGAAGTAATTGTGGTAATCTTTTAAATAGCTTAAATTAACAATAAATTTCAGAATCCAATTAGCTTTACTGGAATGCTGCATGGTAAACTAGTTTTCTATTTAATTCTTCAGTCAATGAAAAAAAAGAACAGGAGAAAAAATGTGATATTTCCCCAGAAAAGATTGTGAATGACATCAGGTGTGTTGATAGTACTTGTTTCTGTGGCAGTGATTAATTACAGTCATTGGTGCACATTTATGGTGACTGGCATTTACTTTCCTGCAGTCGTATGAGTAAACATTGTGGGAAACCCTAACTTCCTCAATTTACATATAATTTACTTTTAGTAACTCAATCACCTCTTTCACAAATGAAAACAGAGCAGGGGAAATGAAATAAAATAAACATCTTGTAAGAGCCTCTTTTAAAAAGAAAGGTTTTGACGAACGTCTTAAAAAGTATACGTGCTTACCGAACTTACATGGATAGTTTACATAGTTTGAAAAGACAAACGCTGGACCTATGAGAGGAATTGCTCTTTTAAATCCAGACAGAAGTTAAGTCTAGACAGAAGGTGGACGTTTTGCTGGTAGCAGGCGTGTTTGTAATAGGATTAATGACATGCTGTTTCCTACTTTGAGTGCTGATATTCAGTAAACCATATAGAATGATTGACCACAAAGTGCCAAATCACTGTCTTTGGCTTTCGCTCACTTTCCAGTATTAACACAATTAGTATAGTACTTCCACAGCAACTTTACCTCAAGGATCTCATTTGGACTTAGCTCTCAAATCATTAAACGTAATGAGGCCTCTGCTGCACCAGTACAGTACAGGTTCAGAACAACTCAGAAGGAACTGTACTATAGATGCATTTTACCCAGTAAGAGTCCTGGGAAGCCACACTGGTGATTTCCAGAGCAGAATGCCCTCTGAATCCTTCAGCAGCCATGTAATCTTGCAAGCAGAAAGGATAGGGTAAAAGTTATGTACACAAGCTCTGCTCTGCTCAAGCTGGAAGACTGCTAATTTTGCTGCATTGCATCCTGTGGACTAATAATTGACTGCAACTTTGGGAGCATTTTCTGAATTATCTCTGATATTCTGAGCAACAGATTGATGTTAGCAGATCTAACTGACACCTAGACTATCTGTGCAAAGTGAGTTACTCCTTCTCCACAAAGATAAGACTAGATTAAAATTTTGAATCTTTTATGCTGAAAATTCTAGTTTATCTTTCAGAGTATTGTCTTCTTTTTCGAGACCTCAGTAAATTGGAAATTAAATCTCTGGAAAAGCTAATCTGTACTACTGGCTTTTTCCTTTCATCATGAACCCTTCCTAATGAATACATGAAGGTGTTTTGATGAACTCTACTTTTTTAGTTTTCTGACTTTGTAGGAATTAATTTTTCCTCAGCATGAGAATGAATGCCTAAGTAGATTATGCTGATGTGGGAATTAAACCTCCATGTAGAGTTGATTTATTCTTGACATAAACTTTTCTATCATCATGGTCTGGTTGCAAAAGGATCAGGGGTTAGCAGGCTCTAACTTTTGTTTACTGTAAAGTTAATCTAGACAGATTCTACAAGGACCTCCACACATCTTGATGGCTAAAACAAATTATTTAATAATATTTCTAAAAACAAGCATGTGTCCAGAACTTTGTGGGCCTCAAGACTAGGACGAGAACTCTCCAGGGCACAGATCATCACTGGTAGTAAGTATTTCATACAATACCTGATTAACAGCTTGGACCCAACTGGGTTAAATGTTCCTGCAGTTTTACACCCTTTGCTTTCCCTTGATTTTAACTGGAAGATGACAACAGCTGATCACTGCAGTGGCATGATGGTTTAGATATATGAATGCCTCTGGTTTAGCTTTATGAGAACAGAGCTGATAAAACATCTGCTCAATACATGGTGTTCATGGGGCTAAGTAAAACTTTCAAGTAAGCAAATATAGTTGGAAAAAACAGACAAGCTTGGCCTCCCAGTTAAGACTCACATGCCCCAAAGCTTGTTAATTTTTTCTTACTGCATCAGTTAGTCTAACAAAACATTTCACCTTGCTTCATAAACCTCATAGGGCTTCTATCACCCGACCATCACAATTACAACGAGGTAACAGCTGCTTAGTTTGTAGAACTACACAGGCACTTTCATATATTACAAATACAATTTGGAGATGTTAAGAGATAACAAAAACTCAGAATAATGCTATAGCTGCTTAAGTGTATTCCTGAATGGAAAGACTGTTATAATCCCAGCAATATACACCTTTCAGTACTTTTGCAGAGCAAAATGTGGTCTGTAGTGCTGGTGATTACTGTGTTTAAACAAACACTCTCTCTCAAGGAATATTTTCCTTTTGACTGATCCTACTGCTGAAACCCTACTGGTTCACGATAGCTTGTTGCCATGGATGGGTAATGATGTCACACATTCTGCCCTGTGTCCATGCCAGAAAATAAATGAGAATGATTTTTTTAATGACTAGGAGTTACTTAGCAATTCCCTGGAAGGCCTGAAGTGAATTACGAGTAAGAAAACAAGATGCCCTATTGACCCTACCTGCACTGTATCTTTATGCCAGTGAAGTGATGCAGTAAAACTCCATAGTAAATTCTCTGCAGATTTAAAAACAAGGTTGTGTTACTGCAATTTACCTTGTTATCCAACAGATTTCAGTGGGCTGAAGATCAGCAGGAGGCTAGGCGAAGTGTGGCTTAGGGGCTCACACTTGAACACGTATGCCCTTGGAAACTACATAACTGTTTGTCCTTCCGAAGTTTTTGGAAGAGAGTGTACTGCTTGTGTCCTTCCCTCCACTGGTGATACTTTGACAGGAAAACAATCCCAAGCAGGGTAGACATCACTGCCATCAGGCAGCAATTGCCACGCTACTGCCTTCTCTCACACCACCTTTCAAATTAGGTTAGATCTATCCTTCTGAGGTCGGCATCTGGAAGGCAAAGAACAAGAGGAAACCTCTTGTAAACACAGCCAAAACCAGAAAGGCTGTAAGAACACCAGCACTGTTACCTATCCCCAGACCTTGGCTTCTGCTCCCTCCTCTCCTCAAGGACAGTGGTGTTTGGAATAAGGAAGCTTTTGTCCTGAGGTGAGACCATCCGAGAGTTTCAAAGCCGCCTAAGCTATCAGGATAGCCCCCTCCCCGTAGTTTCTAACAGGTGTCCCTTTCTAGGAAGGCAGCCTTATCTTCAAGGGCTGCCCTATGCACGACTAAGCGCGCAGGGCTCAGCGGCCCCCTCCCCACAGACTCTCATCCACAGACCTTGGCGGAGAGAGCCAGGCCAGCCGTCGGGACTGACAGGCAGGGCGGGAGAGCAAACCGAGCGGGGCCGGGCCGGGACAGGAGCAGGGCCCGGTCGCGCCCCGGCTGAGCACTCCGGGGC